AAGGGGAAAAATGAGAACCAAGACTTGTCATGTAGAGGTACAAGATCCCAACAATGAATGTAACTGTACTGTATCCCTAAAATGTATGAATAAACTCAATTAAAGCTGGGAAAAAAATAAATAAATACATATAAATTTTTAAAAAACAAAACAAAGAAATTTTCCTTTGTCTCACGGAAAACTTTACCAGATAAAAACAACTCAAAAGGGCTCAGACTACTTTGGAAAGCTATTTGACAGTGTCTGCTCAAGGTGAACATAAGAACACCCTAGCTCAATGGTTTCATCACTTACCCTGCAAGCACAAGGGCCTGAGTTTCCAGTACCAAAAAACAAAACAAAACAAAACCCTAACCCAGCAATTCCATTTCTAAGTGTGTACCCACAGAAACAGATATCTTTGTTGGCTAAGAGACAAGATCACAATCATTTATACCATCTCTATTCACAACAGCCTAAACTAAAAACAAATGCCCATCAACAGTAGAATCAAAGAAAGGATATACTAAAGTATAGTATATTCCACACAATGGAATAAATAAATCATGTATAGATGCCTCTAACAATACAGATGACTCTAACAAACATGATAAAGAACATGAAGACTGATTAAAAGTTCATATTTTATGACTACAATTTACAACAAGTTCAAACAGGAGCAAAGCTAATCATGGTGTTAAATGTTAGGATAGTGGGGCAATTACTGGAAAGAGGTGATGAAGGGGGGTTTCTGTAATGCAGACAATATTCTTTGATATTGGTGCTGGTTACATTTTGTGAAAAACAACATGTTTATACTGTTTTGTTATTCTTCAATAAAAAGTTATTTTTAAAAGTCCAATTTTTTTTTTCATACCGGGAATCAAACTCCAGTCCTTGCACTTGTAAGGCAGTCAGCAAAACCACTGAGCTAAATCACAGGCCCAGTGCAATTATATTTGGTGGGTTAACATCATACTATGTACACTATAAATGTTACTACATTTATCCTTTGTCTTATCTCTCCAAATAGAGGAAGACAAAACATAAGCTTTCAAAAATCATTTTCATTTCACTTATTAGCTAAGACACACTACAGAGAGTTTCATTCTTCTTAATATAAGAAAATGTTTCTTTGAAATCTAGATTCAAATCCTCTTGCCATCTATCTTCAAACAAACAAAAGAATGTGCCTGGGTCACCATATATTCAGGTTTAAGTAAACAATTTAAATGAAGCTTTCTTCTTTTTTTAAACTTAGCCTGCACTTTCAAACTCTACAAAGTTATTCCACTTTTGTTAAATTAATTTCATATTCTTAATCTCAGGATGAAGATATCCTAAAAAGCATACAGTTTAGGAAAGCGTGTCATGAATATGCCTTCTAAAAGTCTAAAATTCAATGTCTTTCCTTTTCACTCTACGATAGAATCTTTGAGTAAAAAAAAATAATTTGCAGACCAATATTTTGTGTCAGAAGGACACAACACTTTGTTGTTGAAAAATCAACACTTTTCCAACCTAAAAATTTCCTGACTTTCCATTTGTAAATATTTATTCACAATCATCAAGATATGAATTGTCTTTTTAAAAAAGAGACTATGATCACCTAGTGGGTGATCTATTTAAAACTGTGTTGTCATTTCTTTGCTTAGAGTTTCTATCATATATGAAAAGAATTTTTGATATAAATATTTTATTAACTACAAGAAGGAAAAGGGCAAGGAGAAAACACAGACAGGCAGGAAGTAAAAGTTTATTTGAAATTTCCTTTGCAAAATAATCCTTGACAAAGATGAGTTAGTGGAAAGAATGAACATCCTGAAGCACACTACAATACAATTCCCAATAGTTTATTCTGAAAACTACTTTGTTCTGTTATATCCCTTGCTATCATGATGCTGTGCTTATAACCTACCCCGTGTTTCCAAAAGCTATGCAACTTCCTTAAGCAACTACAGAGTACAGGTTTAAATGGAAGGAAAGTAATATCTATGCTCCTTTTTTTTTGGTACCAGGGATCTAACTTGGGACCTTACACTTGTGAGGCAGGAGGCAGCACCACTGAGCTAAATCCCTGGCCCTACGTTCCTTTTATTACTTTGAATGAATAAGATCTTTTACCCACTGTGACTGGGAATTGTATGTGACAAATGATCGAATTGCTTATACATTTAATTTGCTGTTCCATATCATAACTGTTGCTAATCTACTTAGCTAGTGACATTAGAAATTCAAGTATCTTCAAGATGAATTTCCTGAGAAATTCTGAGTTTAGGTCCTAGACAGCCATGAACAGGCGCCTCTACTCATGAAGAGACAACTTGAGAAAAATCATCATTTCAGTGAACTAAACTACAGCATTACTACTCTACCAAAAGTGATGGAAAAATCCAATTTAGCTGTATGATCAAGCACATTAATTTCATTCCCTTTTCTATAATAAACAGCACAGAACTAATCTAGCATGAAATTAGATAATTTCAGAAAAATGTGAAGCAATGATAATAAATATATGCAAGTTCATACTATATACGTATAAAATGCAAAAATATTAAACATCATATTCCCATTTCCAACTTTTATGAAATAATCATGAAATATTAACCTGAAGTATGTAATACATAATGTCTAAGAATATTTATTTATAAATCTGCCTTTTAGTGTTAACTTTTTTAAAGATTATAAATGCAAAGATATGCATTTGGTTTTTATTTAAAGAGGATTACACTATATAAAATAGGTGAGTCAGAATCATTTACCATACTAATTGGATAATCAAGAAAGATAGGGTTTTTTTTATTTGTTTGTTTATTTGTTTTCCAATACCAAGGATCAAAGTCAGGACCTTGTGCTTATAAGGCAGGCACATCACCACTGAGTTAAATCCCTGGCCCAGAAAGTAGGGGTTTTAATACAAATGTCAAAATTTGCTTTGTGCATACAATGATCATACTATGTTGATTCTGCATAAGATTTTAGCTCCTAATTCTGCATTCTTCCTTAGATTAAGTTTAGAATGGCATTTTGCAAACTAATTTGTAAGTAAAAATCAATGAGACTGAATGCACTATCAATCAGCTTATCTAGCTATTATATTTTCAGGATACAAGGACCTCTTCTGTGAGCCCAACAAGTCACCCAAACAATTAAAACATTACATGCCTACAAAATCCTCTGCAATCTTCAGATACACTGCATGTGCTAACAAGAGCCTTAGAAGAACAAAACCCAAGCCCATACTTGTACATAAAATGGTTACTACTGTGGTAGGCTGTTACAGTTTATATGTAGATGCCTCCCAAAAACTTCATGTACGCAGAGATGGAGCTTTTGAAGGACGACTGAACGGGGGGAGGGCAGGGGGTGGACCAGAATACAGCTCAATGTTCCCTTAGGAAGTAGGGCCTGGCCAGAAGGGATGGGCCACCGGGGGCGTGACCTGGACCTGGAAGCTGTATCTCCTTCAATGGTCTTCTCCTCTCTCTCTGCTTCCTGGCTGCCATGATGTTAGCAGCTCTCCTCCACCAGACCCTTTCACTATGCTTTCTTGTCTTGGACTAAAATTAATCCAACTGGGGACTAAAAAAAAATGTGAGCCAAAATAAACTTCCTGTCCTTTAAGATGTAGGTGTCAGGGATTGTGACCAAGCGATCAGAAAGTAACTAAGACATAGACAACACAGACTTTATACAGCTTATAAATCTTATATTGTCAAATATTATTCTATTCTTAAACTTCTAATTTCTTGGGTGATTAAAATCATCTTTACCTTAAAAAAGATAATGCACCAAAACTGAATAGATCGTATTAAGCCTGTAATCTTATACATCACCTTATACCTCTTCATTGTATGAGCAGGGCACAGCTATACTTTATATACACTTATACTCCCATTAAAAACTCATGCCTCTTATCCAGAAACCCTCTTATCATGCTGACAAATACTCTGATGGCCAATGTAAGTATACATACTTGTAATATCATTTACTTCTTTAAAACAGTAGAGTAGGGCTGCGTGCATTGCTCAGTAGAAGAACATATGCTTAGCATGCCTCAAGCCCTGAGTTCCAGCCCCAGCACCACACACACACACATGAAAACTAAATAAATAAATCCAATGACAGGACTAAAAAGAATAAAGTAAACAAATGTAAGGACCTATGGAATGGCACAAACTAATTTTACTGTTTAAAAAAATAATGACCCTGAGGGTACAGTTTCATGGTAGGATACTTGGCTGGCTTGCGCAGGCCCTGGGTTTGACTTCGAGTACCAGAAAGAAAGAAAAAAAAAATTGTATAACCTAAAACTTTATCATTTTTCTAAACAGCTGGTAGAAGATTCAAACATCATATGCAAAGAGCTCTTTTTAATTGAGAAATTATTTACTGCAAAAATTTTATTTATATTCTCTAATGGAGTGTAATCACATTACTAGTAACAATACCTAATTGTAAATTAATTTATTTCATCTTGAAAATGTGTTATGTTAGCAATACACTATTACATAAATTTAATTATATCATATTCCACTGTGGGAATTATAAATGCTCTACATTTTTATCCTTCATTTATAATAACATTACAATTAAAATATTCTTTTTTATTTATTTATTTTTTTTTTTTTTGGTTTTTTGAGGCAGGGTCTCACTATGTAGTTGAGAATGACCTGGAACTCACTATGTAGCCCAGGCTGGTCTCGAACTCACAGCGATCCTCCTGCCTCAGCCTCCCGAGTGCAGGGATTATAGGCGTGTGCCACCACACCCAGCTTAAAATATTCTTTACTAAAAATTTGAATAGATTTTTTTTTTTTTGGTACCAGCGATTGAACTCAGGACCTTGCACTTACAAGGCAAGCAGTGGAACCACTGAGCTAAATCCCTGGCCCTGAATAGAACTTTTTGATTAGTGAGTGTGGCTTAATGTTACATGAAAAGATTTTTTAAAATTGTAACCATTTTAATGTAACTATTTTCTATTTTGAGTTAGGCATAAAAGATGGGAATTGCTCTACCTCACAAAGCAGCAAGTCAATGATGTGGAACACCATGCAGAGCGGGAACTTGGCAGTAAAGAGAGTGAGGAACCACTGGGATGCATACATGTGAGCTTCCAGGTTCAGGTCACAAAAATGGCTGTGCAGATCCGGTAGCTGTTCCTAAAAGAGGAAGTGAAAAATTTAGGGAAAGGAACACTTTCTTCTTCAAGCTTTCTTTTTCTGCCACAATTGCAATTTTTTTCATTTGTTTTGTTTTGTTTTGGTTTTTTGAGACAGGGTCTCACTATGTAGTTGAGACTGATCTGGAACTCACTTTGTAGCCCAGGCTGGTCTTGAGCTCACAGTGACCCTCCTGCCTCAGCCTCCCGAGTGCTGGGCTTA